ATGCAGTATCACATGACTAGAATTAACCAATCGCTGTCAACCAGTGCCTAAAGTATCCAATCAGATGTGAGAAGTTTGTATTCTGTGTACTACAGAGGCTACAGGTGACACTTGGGTCAGGGTAAGTGCTACAATACACAGGTGTCACATGTGAACAGGTCAGGAAACCCTAAATACCAGGAAATACCTGTTCAGGTAAGGTAACAACTGATAGATAAAGTAATAAGTCTACAGGTAAGATGTAATATACAGGTAACAGTTGGTATATTGGTATGGATGCAAATGACACCTTATAGGTAATAAACAGGTTACACCTGTCCACAATTATTGTCCATACTCATGATGGCTGACGTACACAGTCCTACTAAGAAAAGTATGACACAGTTAACAAACCACATACACTCCTGCTCTAGAAAATAAAATTGCAATGCCGATAATATATTTATCTTAAATGGAATCTAAATAAGAGAGAGATTCAAACCATTCTGACATCATCTAAGCCTCACTAATTGGTAGAGGTAATTAACTGTAGATAACTCATGCTAGTTGGAAACGCATCAAGGTAGTTTCTTCCCGCATTGGAGCTCCCCTGACTGGTTTTCCGTCAGACAGGACTATTTACTCCGACACCAGCTTCATCTTCCCCTTTTTAGATGTCTTATCATATCTGATGAGTCGGAATTGACCTCAATTACAATGTTTTTGAGTTGAGTGCCCTGCCCGTGATTAGCATCTGAGGGGTGATTACCTGGGGAAAAGGTCTCCCTCAATGGTGTCCAAGTTTCTCACTCTCCACCACTCCGTCTTTGAGGGAGATGCTGTTTAACTTACATGCAGATAATGAATGGTATTGGCTTCCAGAAGCTATTTAACAAGCCATCTACATAGCAAGCCACTTTATATAGCGGAGCTGTAATGGAGGAAAGAAATGGAAGTTTCTCCTAAGTCTTGTCCACAGACTGTTTACATGTAGGAAATGGTGTGTCGGTGATTTGTATAGATCTATTAAAATTGAGTGTGGGGGTGTGTTTGTTCATGTTTCAACACAGAATAACCTGTCTAATCTGACACCCTGTTGAACATGGACATCAACATACACAGTTATATTCTGCTTGATTTCAGAAAGAATGGCATACGGCATACATCATTATGTTGGATTAGACAGAATGTTGGAATACAAGGGGGTCAGATTAGGGGTTGAACACTTTATGTTGATGTATGTTCCAAAAATTGGTGTTTTCTTTAAATGGGTGCTGGAGGTTGTAAATATATACAGCATGTCTCTACAGACAGGGGTTCATTTAAGGGGTGGGGTAAAGGACTTGTGGAGAAGTTGGTCTCTAACTGATGAAAATCATGAAATAAATCTTTTATCAACATTTAAAACATCAATGGCTCTATCTTTTAAACAAATGTCTTCAGAAATAGAAGACCTTTCCGAAAATTTAGATGATGACCTTGAACTTTGAAACATATGTGCAGCAATCTGTTTTTCAGTCAGGTGTCATTGAAACCTGCATTTCACCAGGCCTTACAAATTGTGTATACATAATATTTGACAGATGAAGGCCAGAAGGATATAAATATACCCTTTCCATAGAAAACCTCAATAATGAATGTTTCAACTTTAACATGAAAACAGTATCATGAATATAACAATGAGTTAATAATTTTCTTCCAATTTAAAAATAAACAAGTGCATTTTGACAGTATTTTCAGTGCGTTTGACAGCGATTGGCAGACGGCCCAGATCAACAGGCTATTGTATTAAGGAAGGAATCCCTGCTCTCTCCTCCGCCATTAATTACAGCTGTGGACCTATATGGATGGCTGGCCGGAGAAGAATGGGGTCTGTATCCACCTTGCCTCTCCGTGGTGGACCAAAACACATTTATCCCCACACATAGGTGTGACTCGGGTTGTCTTAAACACACAGCTCTGCTCAGTGAGGGGTGAACACTACAACTAGCTCACTTGTTGCCTTTTTGGTGCAGTGTTTAAAAGCTGGACACAAAGGACTTTTAAAGCTGAACTAATTCAAATGATTTCTTTAACATCCGGAATGACTGGATTTGTTAAGAAACATGTGGGAATATCAAGCATGGCAACTTGTTAGTGGGCCTAAATCAGCTATTACTCCTATTCACATAAACATTTTGTAGGTGGGGGTGGGATGGGGGGAGTGAGAGGTTTAAGATGTTTGTTTTAAGTTGCTAATGTCCTAAGGTTCTGAAAATTAAATCCAAGGAAATTGTATTAATCTAAATCCCATCACAACATAAATGACCTAACAAAGTTATAGTAGGCAGACAGGGATATTACATAGTGCTAATATGTCTGCGAGGAGGCAGTGGTTGAGGAGGCAGTGGTTACAGAACATTTGTTACCTCTCCCAACCCCAACCTTTCCTGTCTCCACTCCCACCCTCCCCTTTCTAACCCCATCTCTATTAACTTAACTCAGACCCCTGTGGTCCCACAGCCCTTAACCCTTACCCACCTGTAAACCCTATGTACTTTCCTGTCCCTGGCCCCTTTGCTATCCCTTATTTACACTGGCTTTGAGCCAATTCTAGGTTTGGTGTATATTAGGCAGGTTTTTTAATTGTCTTTACTGAAGTACGTTATTCATATAATAACAATACCCACAGGGGCAGATCCGAAAACTCTAAAAGGGTCGGATGGGGGGNTAAATATTGATGGAACACTATGTAGATACTTTTGGCTTATGATTAATTCGACTAATATATAACCTTACTGTACCTATAACACTATATACCTGGCCATAACACTACAGCCCTACCCAGACACCTGTGTTACTGTACCCATATCACTATATACCTGGCCAGTCATCTGTGTTACTGTACCCATATCACTATATACCTGGCCAGTCACCTGTGTTACTGTACCCATATCACTATATACCTGGCCATAACACTACAGCCCTACCCAGACACCTGTGTTACCTGTATCACCCCTTATTCTTCCATATTTCCATCACCAACAAACCAGACCTACTACCAAGTTTGTGTAAATTCATCAATAGTATCTTTTTAATGCTGCTGTTTTCACATAAATGTCATAATCATAGATTGAAATTAAAAGTCCACGTAATAGAATGCAGACAGCTGTGACTTGTTAGGAAAATCATTAATTTTGGTAAATAAATTGTCTGCAGTTGTACTGATTAGAGTCTGTCTGCTGAGACTTATATTACCGACTATGTTTATAAGTTTAGACTATCTCCAGAACGAATAGTTCTCTTGTTTAACTGCACAGGAAATTAATGATTTATCATTTAGGGTTTCCAAACCATTCCCAACATTAAATGAGTAGAAAATAATGAAACACATTGTCTGATATGTTCTTTCATCTTTTCCATGTACAGTATATCCACAAAGCAAAATTGTCTAACCAACCATAACAGCCTTTGTTTTCCTATAAGCAAAGTTATTGTTTGTCAATATATAACATAACAATCCTTTTTGCTTTCAAATTCTACCAATACAATCATGGTGAAGCCTACTGTAATCTATAACACCAAAGTGTTCTCAAAAACACTGTTCTGATACAATTTCAATAAAAATTTAGGCAGTAGGATTTGGTATAATTTTGTCTGGTTTATACAGGTTTACAGATTATACAGTAGTCAGATAACACTTTACTTACACCCACTTGTCCAAACCCTGTATAATATGTACATTATATCCTGTCAACATTAAACTCTGTATAATCTGTAAATTATAACCTGTCTATAATGAATTTGAAATGTAACCAGTCTACACTGAACCTGTATAATCTGTATATTATACCCTGTCTACACTAAACCCTGTATAACTTATACTGAACCTTGTATAATCAGTATATAATAACCTGTCTACACTGAATCCTGTTCAATCTTACATGTAACCTATTTACACTGGACCCTGTATAATCTGTACAGTATAACCTGTTTACACTAAACCTGTATAATCTGTACAGTATAACCTGTCTACACTGAACCTGTATAATATATGTATAGTATAACCTGTTTACACTGAACCTGTATAATCTGTACAGTATAACCTGTATATACTGAACCTGTATAATCTGTACAGTATAACCTGTCTACACTGAACCTGTATTATCTGTACAGTTTAACCTGTTTACACTGAACTTGTATAATCTGTATATTATAACAAGTCAACACTTTACCCTGCAAAATCTACACAGTATACCCCATCTACACTGAACCTTGTATAATCTGTACAATATCACCTGTATGTATTGAGCCGTGTAATGTTTATAAAGTATGACCTGTCTACACTGAACCCTTTATAATATGTACATTATAACCTTTTGTTTACAGAGCCTTGTAATATATGTACATTATAACCTGTCTTACACTGAATCCTGTATAATCTGTACAATACAACTTGTCTTACAATGTTTCCTGTATAATCTGTACAATATAACCTGTCTTACAATGAATCCTGTATAATCTGTCCAGTGTGACCAGTCTTTACTGAACCCTGTATAATATGTCCAGTGTGACCTGTCTTTACTGAACCCAGTATAATCTGTCATGTGTGACCTGCCTTTACTGAACCCTGTAGAAGTGGTCCCAAATATTTCAGCTCATTAACTGTACACACCTGTTGTGTATAGAAAGGTATTTGTAAAAGACTAGGTACCTATATGCGTAATTTCACAAGAACTTTTCAATTTGAGATATTTATAGTTAGAAAAATAGTTTAGGAATGAGGTAAGGGTTTTGTGGTAGGTAGATGTCTTTAGAACCTGTGTAAATAATAATAATAATATGGTATTATAAGTCACCTTTACAATCCAACACCTTTTCCTCCGACAATGTCATTCTGATACCAGAGTAAAGTCTTGGGTACTTTATAAAGTCTGAAGGTGTTGCAAGTCTGGTAAGTACTGTGTCACTAATTCAGGTAAAGACCTACAATTACAGGTGTACGACTACAAATGACCAGGGTGGTGACCAGACAAACTTACCCTTGGTCCACTAGATTCCTGTCCGGAGTGTCGTCACGCTTGTCAGCTTCTTTCCGAGCGCGCTTCAACTGGAAAATATAAAGAGGTTACATGTGTTATTAGCCTTTACAGACAACCATAATGGTTAAACACTCGGGGCCCCAGGCCCAACACCTTACACACCAGTGGCTGACTTCAGGGTAACTTAAAGAAAACAACCAACTGACAGTCAATGTCACGCTTGAATAGAACTACAACAGTTGATACACAGAACTACTTCAGAAAGGTAAGTTAACAACAAAACATTGTATGACCCCCCCCCCCCCCCCCCCCCCCCCCCCCCCCCCCCCCCNCTGTCCTCATCACATGAAGATACACGAACCGCTTATTACAATTGTATTTAATTGAATGTATAGAAAATTTGAAGGATTGACACTCGATCGAGGAAAAAAATAGCAAATGATAATCTCCAACAACCTTATTTACGAAATGCGAGCTCAGTGGACTTAATGGACACAGCGAGAACTCGGACAATGTCATCAACACAGATGAGATTGTGGATGATGTCAATGACATAGCTATAGAAAGAACTAAGAAGATGTCACTGAAGTTACGATGTCACAGAAAATACTGCTGACATTGAAGAACTTGTGGATATAAATGTCACTGACACAGCAGGATCACAGTTGACCCTACCAACAGTTTGAGATTTCACCACGTTAAATATCTGAAGTCAATTTTACTTGTGTCACCCAAAAACAAGTAAAACATATGACATTTCACACTATTGCATGTGACCTATACCAATACATTACAGACTGCTGCTCTCTGCAAGTGTAAACTCAAATAGGTCAAAGATGTAATGAGGTCACAATCATTGTGAGGTCATCACGCTTGATATTGTGAGGTCATCGAAAAACTCACCAATGGGGATCCCGGTGGTGAAATTTGAATGAGCGAAACATGGTGTAAGTTAGGATTTTCACTACCCAGAATCATTTTTGCAGGTGAGTTGTATGAGGTGATGTTTGGGCTGGATCAGTCCCCTGGGAGGGGTCACAAATCACACCCGACCTGAGCAGGTACAGAGCGGTAGAAGTCCCGGGGACACCAGGCACAACATTCAGTCTCACTGCAGTCTGGTCCTTGTAGGCACATCAACAATACCAGCCTCCAGATGCCAAAACGCTGACTTGTAAGACAGCTGAAGAGAGTACTTATGCTCAAATCTGGGGTATATAAGACGCAAAGTCCAACTCTCACAAACTCCGAGATTCCTGGCCGTAAATCCACAGCATGTTTGTTGGTCAACAGGGTAACACATGGGACCCCTATAAGCCACAGAACTGAGGAAGAAACATCCCAGCAAACATGGCCTCTCTCTGAACTAGTTTACACATCTACACCCTCATGACTCAAAACACCAAAGTTTCTGGGTCACACACGTGTGGCAGCTCCCAGCCTGACTTGAGAATGTGTGTATGCCTGTATGTACAATCACAGGGGCTGCTATAGATGATGGGGGAGTGTCACTCCTATCTCCTGTGGGGCTCCAGATAATTCACCTCCTTGGGGGAACTACAGGGGATCCCATGTAGGGGGTGGTCAGTCTCTAGGACCATTGGTCAATTCATTGATCATAGGATGGGGACAAGAATTCCTCTAATCTATATATATACACACATATGGTTAAGCTTTCAACTATAAAATTGCATTCAACTATGATGTATATCCCCTTAGGGGAAATATGTTCAGTAGGAGAATAGGGGTGAGGTTCTAGACTCCCAAGGGGTGGGGCAGACTACTATATATACATATGTTAACATGGTACATTTTTACTCTGTGTTGGTAACCATGGTAATCTTTGTAAAAGCTTTGTGTCTACTGAGCCACAATGCCCGACATCAACTTTCTCATGCACAAATCCAGCAACAATATTTTTTAGTAGAAGTGAAAATAAAATCAACCGTTCATAAGTTACACATGAATTAGATTGTGATTAAATATCAGGAATATTGCAATAATAAAAAGTATAAAGATTTGATAAAAAGTGAAGAAAAAAACAACTAAACTCCAAATATTTCAATCTTACAAACAAGTACCATTTCTATAACAAATATTTTCTAAACCTTTATATTTATGGTTATTACAAAATATGGAGAAAAATGTTTTAATTTCAACAATTCATTTCCCCTTCGGAGCCTCCTTTGGGGTGCCCACTGGAGGAGAGAGATATCCTGCTTAATAGGCCTCTTGCTGTCCCCTTCACTCTGAGAGGAAATGATTTGGTGGGAAGTAGGTGTCACTCCAGGGGCCTAGCTAAAGCCCCCAGGGACCAGGGCCCCACCCTGAGTGGGATTTCCCACCTCTGTTGCCAAGTGGCAGCCAGTAACAATCTCTAAGGAGATGGCATGGCCACCAGTCCTGGGCTACAGTCTGTTTTGAGTGTCAATATCCCAGGATCCAAGACCAATACTTTCTAAATGGACCTTCTTAATAACTTGACCTTGACAGTTTATTTGCATTTGCCTTCCTCTCTGTAATAAACAAAGATACCAAACTTTGAACATTCTTATTCTGAAGGCAAATTCATTTAAGCCAATTTTTTTATTTTTTTTATTTTAAGTTTAAAGAAACAATGTTTCGTGTTTCTCAAGTTTGGAGAAGTTAATGTTGTAATCTCACCCATTGAGTGGTGCTGTTGTTATACATATATAAACAAATCCCATAAAAATAAGTAATCTGTAGTCGGTCTCCCATAAAACTAAACATCAAATACAAGGAAAAACATAAACCTTGTTTTAGGTTCTGCTGATGTACCTTGAATTTGAAGGCAATCTCTTCTAAAGCATTGTTATATATTCATCTTCATATGCATATTCAGCAAAACAAAAATCCTTAAATTCAAAAAAACTGTCCAAGTGATATTTCACTTCAATCGTTTTTATTTACCACAGGAAATCGTAAAATATATGAAAAAGTTTCCGATTCATCATGTATTATCTGTAATTATACAAGGACAAAGCTGTGGAGCTGATACTGGGCTATATACTGTCTATGTACTGGTAATTTCCTATCATGGACATGTACATACAACATGTGGAAGGTCAGCTTGACAGGAACAAGTAGGTAATATGTTCCATAAGGCAGATTGCTCTTTCCTTTGATAGAATATAGCTAATTTAATTTCAATTCTTTCATAAAAATAGCTGTTTCAGTCATAATGAATAACTGTAAATTGTGTCAATCAAAGTTAATTTCAATACCTTGTTCTTGTTTAATTTGAAGTAAAAATAAAGAAATCCCCCCCCCCCCCCCCCCCCCCCCCCCCCNCTGACAAAATTCCGTAGATTAATGAAATAAAATGATCCACTTAATTCACTAAATTTATCTCTACATCTATAATGGTATGATGAGATCAGGAAGAATGAGATTCCTTGGTAAAGTAGTATTTAAATGTGAAGAGGAATGGGTCTTTTTGGAAGTGACCAGAGAAAATATTTATAATAACCCCTCCCCCCCCCTCCCCATTCACCAATTATATCATCTCTCCCCTACACCATTTCCTATTAATCTAGCCCCTTTGTAGAGCCCTGATCAACACCCATTGATAAATTAAATCAATCTTAGCTGGAGGTTATCTCCAGTTTTACAGGGAATTAATTAGCCACAAGATGGAGCTGTTCTGGTGGTGGTGGGGGAGGGGGACACAAGGCTCTATGGTGATAACATGGTGTTTCTCTAGTGTGAGCAAGGCCCACTCATGTCCACACTCAAAGGAAATTAGGCAAATTTTGGCTGAGGTTTTGGACTACATGGATGACCTTGACCTCTAATGCCAGGAATATGCATACATTATAATACACCCCACTGAATCCTAAGACAACCAATATGTGGCCTGACTAAAACTGGTCTATTGTTTTATATTCATTAGACAATTCAAATAATTATTTTTTTAACAAACACGCTTTTTAAAACTCGTCCTTAATGCATTTTGTACAATTTTTGTTAATGTTTATATATTCTAAAATATCATTTCTATATTCTTTCTTCATCAATATGTATTTTTATTTTGAAGAAATATATTAACCAAATTACCAAAATGACTTTTTTGCATTGGGACTTCAGCAAAAACTTTGTTCACTTTTAAACTTTAATAAAATATTCAAATTTAAAAATACATAATGCATGACCATTTTACATCATTTAAACATTTTTACAAGAAACTATGAATTTTAATCTGGATGAATAAAAGTTGTGCTCTTTAAGATGTAATCTACAACCTTAATACACAAGATAACGTTAATGAAAAATTAAATATTATAACAAACATCTAATTATTGAGTAAACTTTCAGTATTCCATTAGATTATTCAATTAAAATTGAAAGCCATTATCAACTTTTTTTTTAGAGTCTTTTCACAAAGACAGATGGATGAGATTAGAAAACTTTTTGATAGAAGAGTTAAACAATGGCCGACAAATGTTGTTTTAAATGGCAACGGTTACAATACATGTCCCGTCTGGTTAATTGTTCAGCGACATGTTAGGAGAATGCAACACAGAAACATATAGATGAAACAACAAACGAAAAATCAATAAAAATTACTTGAAAAAGTTTCCAGAAAACTTTTTAATCAATTAGTTTCATGACTTGTTAAAATAAATTTTAAATCACTGATATTTTCTTCATTTTTTAAACTCAAAAACAAAATATACATGTTCTTGCATTAAAAATTATCACTTTTAGACCATGGTATGACACTTGTCATTGGTTAATAACCGTGGATTATTGCATATTATGCATATGAACATTTTACTGAATCCCTATTCTGCATTGCAATGTAAACAAGTTAGCCGTCTATTCCTGAGATTTATCAATGCCACTTAACAAACTGACTCGTATCTGATGGGAATGATTTGATTTTCTCCTTGAAATAATTTTGATGTGAAAACTTAAATTTACAGTTCTGGCATTTAACATTAAGGTAAGTCCCACAAAAGCTGACTTTTCACAAGATATAAACATATCAATAATTTGATGTTAATAACACGTTCTCCATCAAAATCAGCTTATTTTTAATTGATGGTGTAACACATCAATGTGAGAGATATATATAGGTATCACCTGTATTATTGATTAAATCACAAGAAACAAAGTGATAGGGAGGGGGAACTAGAGGAAACCGTAATTTTTAAACTGCATTAGACAAGAATAGAGATTAAGTTTTGTATTGACATTTGAAACTTCACTTGATTGGAATCAAGAAATAAGACTATTTGTTATAGTTATTTAACTCCGATAGGAATTAAAATAAAGACAGACTTTGTATAGGTATTTGAAATCTCATTAGACAGAAAGAAAGAGATCTATTGAGCAAAAGAAAGGTGGATTAAGTTATTTACTCCATTAGATAGAATTCAACAGTTCAGTCGATTAAATTTTAACACCTAATCTAAGAAGAGTGCTTATAAATGTCTTACTTTATAATCCATTGAAACAAAACATTAGGTTACGTTATCAACATTTTTATACAAACTACTATGAAGTTTTCCACTTGTTTGTTTACATAGATGGCAGTAACAGACACTTACCCAACTAATGCATGGACAGCTCATCAACACGGACCGTCTTACGCCTAGTGATGTGATAATGAGTAGACTAATTATCCGCTGTCCAGCCCCGATAACCTAAACAACACTGAACATGTTCTATGTGTGTGTAGGATAGCCCAGCATTGTAGTGATAGGTCAGGCCTGAGTACTTCCTGACAACCTTCATTGACAGAGAAGGAGGAGGAAAGTTCCTAACATTAACTTCCTTCTAGCCTCATCAAACTCAATTTTTTCCACTTGACAAATCCACCAACTTAGAAACAATACACGCCTAAAACCTCTTGATAATTTTTCTAAAACAATTATGTTGCTTCAGAGATATCAGGAACACAAATAAAATCATTGAATTAGTATATTTCATTTCTTGAACAATAACATATTACTATATAACTATATTAACATATATTCATTAATATTTTTACAAAACAAGGAGTTTCATATTCATGTTTGAAAAACTCTCTAAACTATTTTAGGTCAACATGTAAACTAACCTTTTCTGACAAATATTTTAATATTACAATCAAAAGTTTTTTTAACTGATCAAAGACAATCTAAAATGCTGATCAAGGTTTACTGTCTGGGTCTGGACCTTATCATTCAGTACTTTGGGAAGAGGAATGAGGACTTCAGCATTCAATGAAAATGGTAAGTTGTATGATAGACTGTTCAGAAAATGGTGAAACAAGTCACATTTCAGTTTGAATAATAGTCAACTTACCACTAAGTTATAACCCAAGCACTTTGAAGTAATATTTATTTATATACATAAACTAATAAGGAAACATGCATAATC